ACCAGGTGGAGAGGCAGGAGCTCCCTCAGTCGAGTTATGGGTAGAAGCCTGATCGCAAGTATAGCTCATGATAGGTCTGGGGCCGGGTGCTGCGGTGGACCCCGACGGAAGGGGTTAGTAGTACAGCGCCCCAGGAGAAAGGCAACGTGCTGCGGTGGTCCCCGGCAAAAGGGGATAGCAGCGCGGAGAGCCGGGATCAGAGAGGGTAGCCGTGCGGTTGGCTTAGAGGACCGGAGACCCGCTAGGAAGTCCCGTAGCGGGCTAGATTATTTTAGAGAAGGCCCAGAGGGGGCTCGACGAGAGTCCCAGTGAGGGGCTGTATATTGGAGAGAGCCCGGGAGAGCGGGCTAGACTACAGAGGAGGCCCGGGGAAGCAGGCGGGGTGACAGACCAACGTCCAGTACATCAGCGAGGCTTGGGGCGTGGTATTAGGGGTGGTAGGAGCCACACGTAGCCCCTAAGGCTAGGGTGCCCCAGAATCTCCCCTTTGTAGAGCGGGACCTACAAGGGGTCCGGGAGTCCACAGGCAGAGACTACAACGAGAAGTGACCGAGAGGGCATAAAAGGCAGCCTCCCTAGAATAGAGGGTGCCCTTGGGCCGAATTGGCACGGAGAGAGGGCCTTAAGGAGATCACGGCCCTCCTATAGGACCCCGCCTTGACAGGGATGAATTTGAATCCGAATCAAATATGGCCCACTTTGCATACCCTTATAATGTATATTAGGTGCATGATTGTTTAAACTAAATAAATATATAAGATTATATTCCCTAACTCATTATGTTTTATAAAGTCCTCTAACATCCAATGAAATTACTTGTGATTTTAAAAAATAACATCTGACACTATTCTAGAGAATTTTATAAGATCTGGAGATAAAAATAACTATTTTACTTTATTGGTCAACAGAATAACGACTGATTAATCCAGCAACATTTGGATTTAGACTAGTTTTAGCTACAAAGGCCACAACTACACAAGACATTGACTGCACAGTTGACTAATTAACTGTGCAGTAGACATCTCAGTGTCTATACGTGTGCACCTATTAGGGCACACAAAACTAATAAATGTCACAGCAGGGTAGGACTTGTAAATACAAGTTCTATCCTGCTGCAAAGTTTTTTTTCATGTGCAGCAGCACACATGTAGATGCTGAGCCAGCTGGTTGGGGCATGAGGGTGCCTCAGTGAGAGGGCTGCCTGCTGGCTAGCCCTGAGCTGAAGCACTCTCATGCCCCATCCAGCCCCACCACAGCACTTTGAGGCCGGTTGGAGCAGCCTCAGGATAGCAGGCTGACCTCCCATGACCCCTGCCAGCTGGGGCTGCTGTGACCTGGCTCAATGTGCTGCAGTCTGGGTGCGCATGTAAACTGCATGCCCGGGAGCTTCCTGGGAGCAATAAATTATGGAGCAATAAGTTTTGTAGTTTATTGGTGCATGTTAATGGCATGTGCCAATACACCCAAGGGAGCATAAGTTTTTATATCTAGGCCAGGTACAAGACATTACACTTGTATAAGTGATCAGAAACCAGTCTATAACCGTAACAGAACAGAAGTTCATCACACATAGACTAGTTTAAAACTGGCAGAACCTGGTCTATTTGTTCTCTCCACCTCCCCTCCCCACCCTGCCCACCAATAGG